AGGAGTATCAAGTGATGTAAGCTTTGTTGACTCGCACCCTTAAAAGCAGCCTTTGCAAAAGCTAAATAGAACCTGTAGAAAGATTTCAATAACCAGACTTCCAAAAAGGATTATAGACATTTTATACTAAAGGTTAACTTACATTTGAACTTATAAAGACAAAAGAACTTGAAGCATCTATAATTACAGTTACTTACTACTTTAAATGAGTCTCATTATATCACCTTATTTATAAGTAATTTATATTATATTTTTATAATATAAATATCTATTAATATCTTTATCAGTAAAAATATCACATTAAATCTAGGTATATTGCATAATTATATTAATTAATCATTTTTAAATATGTTATAAGTGACTTAAGGGATTAAAATAAAATTTTTGAAAATTATAAGGATTAAAAAAAATAATTTTAAATTTGAGGGATCAAAAATAAATTTATCTTAAATTTGAAAAACTAAAAACATATTTAAACCAAAAAAATTATAATAATAAAAAGAAATTAGATAATAAAATTACAATGAAAATTACTGTTTTTTTTTTTTTTTTGGGATGCTTCATTTGTTCATTCTCTCAACGACTCTCACTTTCTCAATGTCTCTCACTTTCCCTTCTCTCTCTCATTCCACAGCTTCCTCCATCTTCTCCTTCACACCCACTCTCACTCCCACCCTCTCGCTTCACCTGGCACTTGACAAAAAGACTACTAAAGGGCAGAAAGAGTTCGAAACGGAGGTCGCTGCACTTGGCAAAATCAGACACCTAAATCCTTGGTGCGCGCTGGGGCTGAACTTGATCGCGCGGTGCAGTGCGGGCGGCGGTTAGGCCAGGACACGGCGGAGCAGGTGGCAGTGTTGGTTTTTTTTGTTTGTAAAACCATTGTGCACTTTCCAGCAAAGCACCTTGCTGAAGCTCCTAAGCTAAAAAAAAAATTGGAACTTTTGAAAATAGCTCACTAGCTTCATTACTAAAACAGAGTTCCTTTGCCTATTTTGGTCACCTAGAAAGTACAATTTATATACTTTCTTTGATTCCTTTAAGTCCATAAACCTCTCGACTATATAAACATAATTAACATAATACAACTACTAGTCAAAATAATATAATTATTTAAGTTTGTTTCATTGCTTTATTTTCCACAAAGTGAAGTGGAGGAGTAGTGGCAAAAATAATCAAGAGAGCAAACAAAGAGAAAATACATTAGCACAAAAGAATTTACATAAATTAAAAAGAGGACTCAAAGATGAAGTCTTAGATAAAACCCAAAGCCTAAAACCCTTTAACTATAGGAATGTCAAGGGTGAGGAAGGGGAGCTAATAAAATAAATCTTTAATGATCCACACGGAACTAACAATGCCTTTTCTTTTTTTCCCTTGACACTTATCAAGTGTACACTCAAAATTAGGGGAAAAAAACTCCAATAAAATGAATTTAATTCATATACACAAGTAAAAGGCATACCAAAAGTGATGTAAGCTTTGTTGATTTTCACCTTAAAAGCGGCCTTTGCAAAAGTTGAATAGAACATGTAGAAATATTTCAATAACCAGATTTCCAGAAAGGGTTATGGACATTTTATACTAAAGGTTAGCTTACATTTGAACTTATAAAAACAATAGAACTTATAAATTGTAATAAGAGGTATATGTCTTGCAACAAAACTATTTAAGAAACATTTTTTTACAAAATCTTTTTATCAATAGCAACTCTAAAATACTTGAGAGAAACTTTTTTTTTTTTTTTACAATTTTTCCACAACACTATTTTAAGCATGCACAACCTAACTTTTGAAAACATCAGTGTATCCACAACACAATGTGAGTAGAAGATAACTTAAATCTGTTATTTGTGATGCATGAGTATGGAAACAAGAAACAGTCAAATTTACACACAATCAACCAATGGATTTGTGTATAATATGATGTTGGCTTTGGACTATATGGTAACAATCAGTCTTCTAGGAGATCTCAGGTAGGGAAATTAGAGAAGACTATTACACCTTCACCAAAAATGGAGGAAAGATTTAAAAAATTAAGGGAAAGAATCACTAGTACAAAATATGCTTTTTACATTACTGTATTCTTGTTGAAAAATAAAAAATTAGACGTAAAAAAAAAATACGGTGACATTTTTTGAAATTATATCCAAGTTTTTTACGTTGGACACCACGAGATCCAATGTAAAATTTGAAATATATGTCAGACTACAAGGAGACCTGACGTAGATTTCAAATTTTACGTCGGACCTAGTGGTGTCCGACGTAAAAACCTTATTATATCCCCTTCCCCTGATTTATTTTGTCGCGCGTGAGGGTTTTCTATGTGCAGAAAGTTCAAGTGACGAAGAGTTTGTATGCAACCTGAGTGTTTCCGGTCACAGTGAACGACGGTGACGGTGGTGACGACATCCATTCATCATTGTAGATCGTTTTATCCAATTGGATTGAAGCTTTTGGTGTGCGTCTTGCTTAGGTTAGCGGTTAAGGCTACTCGAAGTTTTTAGGATTTAAGGTTAGTGCAAATACATTATTTTACATTGTTTTGGTGGCGATGATTGGATTGGATTGGAGGATACATTATTAAGGTTTTCCTCTAGCGATTTCTGGCAATGGTAGTATGAGACCTTTGAGTATTTTTCGATCACGGTGAGCGGCGATGACAACGGAGGCAAAACCCATTTTTGATTCTGAACCTATCTCTCCAATTGGATTGAAACATTTGAGTATTTTTTGGACGTGTTCATGGATTGAAATTTTTTTGTCTATCAATCATTTTATGTCGAACATGGAGGATGTCCAACGTAATTTTAAGTCGGCTAAAACACCCAACATAAATTTACATCTCCCGCATTGACGTCAAACTTTTTTCCGACATAAAAAATCTAAAATAACAGACGTAAAATATCTCTTTTGTACTAGTGAATATAAAATGACAAGTTGGGCAATGGAACAATTCCCTAGTTGGCACAAGGGAGTTAAGGTGTTTTTACTCTCTTGATGGGCTTTTTGGCCGACATAAACCAAAAAAAAAATACATGAAACAAAAAGAAAAAAAAAGGTATTTACCAGAATGAGTGAAATTTGCCAATGTGACACAAGTTGAGGAATGAGCAGGGGCATGTGCGCATCCTGATTCACACATTTGGAGCACGGGTCGTTTTGAATAGAGAACGGGCTGTTTTGCTTGGAAAACGGGCCGTTTTGCAAACATTCTTATGATTTTTTTACTATTTTTCTACGTCAGATTTTATACTAGTGATTGGTGTGGGATACATAGAATCTCTAAATGATTATTGTTTGAAAATTTTGAAAACTTACTCATTATTTACACATATGCAAGCAATCTAGAAAAGGAAATGATAAAAACAAATTATTTTATGTTGTATTAAAAATAAATAAAAGTCATTAAATGAGTTGAAACGAGAAAATTAAAAAAAAAAATTATGACTTTTAAAATTACTATTAAAAAATTATGCTTTACTAGTAATTTTGTGAATATTAACCAACATTCTATATAAATGTCAATAATGATATTAACAATGCACCTATCATTATTTAATTATTGATAAAAAAATAATAATTTATATGACACCTAAAAGATAAAAGAATGATTACTAAAAGTTAACTTTAATATAGTAGACATAAGCTTAGCTAGATCGCTTCGCGACTTTTTTGTGGCAACTGACACTCTTTTTTTGAACAAGAATTTTTTTTAATTTATTAATAGATATGATTAGCTTCATATAGTTAAAATTTTGTTTTAAAGTATTTATGTATATACTCCTCCTTAATATATATATATATATATATATATTAAAAAAAGTAATTGTATTTTTCAAGCATAAAATAAATATCACGTAAATGTTACATACATGTCATTGTTATGTTTACGTAGTGTGTGTTACGTAAGTTTACACTCTCTCCACGTCCATATATGCATTTACGGAGAAGTTGAAATTTTTTTCTTCTGATGAAATGTGATTTTTCACGTTCGAACGCCAACTCAAACACGCTAGTAGTTTGTTACATATTCTACTGAGGAGACTTTTTTTAACATTGAGAAATATAGTTATTTTACACTCCTCATCTCTTCTTTTGACTAAAACAAGAAATACGTACGGCTCCGCACGCACAATTCACTAACCATGTTATTAGGCTAGCTTAGGCATTAGTTCACTTAACCAACTTTAGATAAAGGTGTAATTGTTGGATAAATCTTAACTTTAAATACATAGTTATATAATAAAGATTCTCCCTCAATGTAAATGTCATGAAAAGAGTATTTGCTTTTGATAATTATTGATATTGACTTGGATATTGAAGTAGTTTCAAGTTTACCATGAATGACTGAAAACCCCTGTCAACACCGAGCTGGCATACTAAATCACTACCCTTTAATGAAACAAGCTATTAGAGTGGAAAAACGACAAAACAAACTGAAATTTCACAATTAAGCTACAAAACGAAAAACAAAATTTCGTAAATATATAACCAATAACCTAAATAGTAAAAAAATATATATTTCGTTGATCGTAATGACACCTTATCCTCAAATTCTCTCTCATCACATCAACCTCAAATTCTTTTATTTTAAAATTTTAAAATAATTATGCATGACATTATTACATTTTTATTTAAATTATTCAAAATTATAAATTATAATCAATTATCTACCACAAGTTTTTAAAATTCTAAATTTTAATTAAAATATTTATATTTTACATAAAATTTTAAAAATTTGATATACATATATTGAAATTAAATCCTCTGCAATTTCATACTTCACTGAATGCTGCGCATCTAGAATTCAAACTTAAATTTACCTTTACAATTTTTATTTTTTATTTCTAGTTATAAACTAACGGAATTTTGTAATTGAGATCCTGTACGATTTTAAATCAATTGCAGAAGAAATCGTGATAATCAACATGTGGTAAAATAGCGTATGCAGAAAAACGGTTAGGAACGCCAAACACAAATTAACATGAGAAGAACGAATAGGACAAGTGTGAAAAGAAGAGTAACATAGCAAGGAATTGTAGTACATAATATGTGATTATTGCACGTAAGTGCAACAACCGACGGATTAAATTTTAACACAATAATAACGTAAGTGGACCAAAGTCTGAAACAAGTAGGGACACACCAACACCAAGAGGAGACTCGCATAAGTGGAACCCTCTTCCCTTTATTTCCATTAATTAATTCTAAAGTACTACTCCATATGCAACTGAAAAAATGTCCTCTCTTTTCTTCTTTACCAGATCCATCGTCCTTCAGAACTAATTGATGCTGCAATGTTACACAAATCATCAAACGAATCAACTCAAATAACCACAAGATTTCAAACAAAACTCACCACTATTTATTAACATGAATGTATGCACAAATTGAACAAACTTAAGATTGGTTCTAAAACTTCTGAACACCATTTAAGTACGAATATAGCCACTAGCACATTTTTATAACCTATTTGTTTTATTCTAAAAAATACATTTTATTGTAGATAATTGTAAATGAGACTCTGTAAACAACAAATTAGATAAACAAATTTTAACTAATAATCAAGAATGAAATTAAATATATTTTTCCTCTTTTCAAATAATATTTATTTAGTTTCTTATATACAAAGTATCACTTTCTGCCTCCCTCTTTAATGAAAATATATTAACCTGGTCTTTCTCTTTAAAATATATATA